CCCCCCACCTCATTACCCCCCCGCACCCCCTCCCTCCTCCCCCACCTGCACGTAGAGGTCTATCTGTGACCGCGGGTAGAGCTCGGTGAGCACGGCGGCCTCGAAGGTCTGTTTGAGGTGCAGCGCCATCTCGGCCGACTTCCGGTCCCCGTGCGGCCGCCGCTTCCGCTCTGCGGTGCTGAAGGTGGCCATGCTGTACTGGCAGTTCAGCACCGCCCGCTCGGACAGCGCCTTGCTGCGGGGACCGCGGGTCTGCGGGAGGACAGCGGAAGTCAGGGAACCGGAACCGGAACCGGGGCTCGGGACCGGGACCAGAACCGCACCTTGGGACCAGGCCTCAGGATGAGAACCAGGTCTCAGGACCAGAACCAGGGCTCAGAACCGGGACCAGGACCAGGCCTTAGGATCAGGGCTCAGGTCCAGGTCCAGGTCCAGAACTAGAACCAGAACCAGAACCAGGCCTTAAGATCAGAACCAGGACCAGGCCTCAAGACTGGGGCCGGAACCAGGCCTCAGGACCAGGTCCAGAACCACACCTTGGGACCAGGCCTCAGGGTCAGGCCTCAGGGTCAGGACTCAGGTCCAGGACCAGAACCAGGACCTGAACCAGGCCCGAGGACCAGAACCTGATCCAGGACCAGAACCAGGCCTGAGGACCAGAACCTGATCCAGGCCCAGAACCAGCCTCAGGACCAGGATCAGGCCTCAGGATGAGAACCAGGCCCAGAACCAGGCCTCCAGACCAGGCCCAGAACTGCACCTTAGGACTGGGACCAGAACCAGGTCACAGGACCGGGCCCAGAACCACACCTTGAGACCAGCCCCAGAACCGGGTCCAGAGGATCCAAGGCTGGGGGGGGGGGGGCCTGGAGGCAAAACCCAGGCCTCAGAACCAGGCCTATTACTGGTCCTCCAGACCAGGCCCTGAACTGGATCTTAAACCAGGACCAGACCCAGAACCGGGCCACAGCATCGGGCCCAGAATGGGGTTTTAAACCAGAACCAAGCCCAGAACCAGACCTCAGGACCAGTTACTGAAACACACCTTTAATCAGGATCAGGCCCACAAACAGGTTTAGAAACAGACCGTTGCATTGGGCCCAGAACCAGGCCTGAACGAGACCGTAAAACAGGACCAGGGCCAGAACCGGGCTACAGCACTGGGCTTGGAACCAGGCCACAGCATCAGATCTCAGAACCTGGCACAGAACCATGTCTCAAAACCAGGACCGAGCTGCAGCACTGGGACCAGAACTGGGCCTCAGGACCAGGCCCAGAACCGGGCCTTAAACCAACACCAGACCCAGAACTGGGCCCAGAACCGGGCTTTAAACCTGGACCAGGCCCAGAACCAGGTCCAGAAACGGGCCTCCGGACCAGGCACTGAACTGTGCCCCAGAACTGGCCCCAGCCCCAGAACCGGGCTAGCACCGGAACCAGACGATTCAAGATTAGGGAGCAAAGTCTGGGCCTCAGAACCAGAGCCAGTACTGGACCTTAAACAACGACCAGGCCCAGAATCAGATCTCAGCACGAAGTACTGAACCAGCCCTTAAACCAGGTCCTGACCCAGAACCGGGCCACAGCACTGGGCTTGGAACCGGGCCACAACATCAGGCCTCAGGACCAGGCACTGAACCGGGCCTAGGCCCAGGACCGGGCCACAGCACTGGGACTCAGAACCAGGCCCAGAACCGAAAATTCACTGAACCGCACCCCCGCCCCAGACCCAGCACCGGAACCAGAGGATCCGGGGAAGGAGACGGGGAAGTGGAGAAGCGCTGGGGCGAGGTCTGGGCCTCAGAACCGGGCCCCGCACCGTCAGGCCCAGAACCGCCCTCAGAACCGGGCCCAGAAGGGATGGACTCCCCGCCCCCCCGGCTCACCTCGTGCGGTCCGTACACCACGGCCAGCGCCTTGGTGTTGCCCTGCTCGATGTAGGCCGAGCCGTCCGCCTGCGCGAACACCCCCATCCGGGCCCGCACCTTCCGCAGCTCCGTAGCGCGGCGCCCGTCGGCGCGGTACCCCTCGTCCGACAGCAGCTCCAGCGCTGCCATCGCGATCCCGGCGTGCAATGCGCGGACCACGACTTCCGGCGTGCCCTGCGGAGCCGCCCTACGGCTTCCGGTGTTTCTGCGGGGACTACGACTTCCGGCGTGCCCCGCGCGGATCCCGGCGCCGCCATCGCGATCCCATCATGCCCCGCGCGGATCCCCGCGCCTCACTACGATTCCCGGCGTGCCCCGCTTCGATCCTGGCGCCGCCATCGCGATCCCAGCGTGCCCCGCTCTCGGCTCCGCCCCCCCGGCCGCCGCCCCCCGCCGAGGCCCCGCCCACGGACGACTTTGGGGTCGGAGCGGGACGGGGGTGGCGGACGGAACCGCGCGGGCCGAACCGACTCCGACCGGGCCGAACCGGGCCGGACTGGGCCAAACTCCATTGGGCTGAACCAGGCCGAGGTGGGCCGAGCCCACCGGGCCGAACCGGGCCGAACCGAGCTGAACCGGGCCGAACTGAACTGGACTGAATCACAGCAGGCCGAACCCGGCCCAGCCAAGCAGAACCGAACCGAACTGGGTCCGACTGAACCAGGACAAATCGAACCGGGCCGAACCCAACCAGGCCAGACCCCACCGGGCTGCACCGCTCCAAATCGGACCGAGCCCAACCGAACCGAACCGCTCCAGTCCAGGCCGAGCTGATCCGGCCCAATCCAACCCAGCCTGAACAGAACCGAACCACTCCAACCCAGTCCGACAGAACCGACCCCGACCGAACCGAACCGACCCAGTCCAACCCAGGCGGAACCAACCCAGACCGAACCGAACCGACCCAGTCCAACCCAGGCGGAACCAACCAGGCCAAACGGAACCGACCCAGGCAGAACCAACCCAGACCGAACCGAACCAACCAACCCGCTCCATCCCAGTCCAACAGAACCGACCCAGTCCAACCCAGCCTGAACCGAACCGAACCGAGCCACTCCAACCCAAACGGAACTGAATTGAACCAGGCCAACCCAGACAGAACCGAACCAACCCGGCCTGAACCGAACCGACCTGGTCCAACCCAAGCAGGAGAGAACCGCTCCAACGCAGTGCAACAGAACCGACCCAGTCCAACCCAGCCTGAACCGAACCGAACCACTCCAAGCCAGGCAGAACCAACCCAAACCAATCCAACCCAGACTGAACGGACCCAGGCAGAACCAACCCAGACCGAACCAAACCGACCCACTCCAACCCAGACTGAACCAACCCAGTCCAACCCAGGCAGAACCAACCCAGTCAGACCCGACCCAGTCCAACCCAGACAGAACCAACCCAACCCAAGCAGAACCAACCAAGTCCAAACCAGGCTGAACCTGGGACAGAACCAGTCGGAACCAACCCAGTTGGACCTGACCCACTCCAAACCAGGCTGAACTGAACCAACCCAAGGCAGAACCTGGGACGGAACAAGTCAGAACCAACTCAGTCAGAACCAACCCACTCCAACCCAGCCTGAACCAACCCAACCCAGTCGGAACCAACCCAGTTGGACCTGACCCACTCCAACCCAGACTGAACCGAACCAACTCAGTCGGAACCGATCCAGTTCAACCCAGACTGAACCAAACCAACCCAACCAGAACCAACTCAGTCAGAACCGACCCACTCCAACCCATTCAGAACTGATCCAACTCAGTGGGAACCAACCCAGACTGAACCGATCTGACCCAGTCCAACCCATTCGGAACCAAACCAACTCAGTCGGAACCAACCCAGTCCAATCCAGACTGAACTGAACCAACTTGGACGGAACTGACCCAATCCAACCCAAACTGAGCCAAACCAACCCAGGCAGAACCAACTCAGTCAGAACCGACCCACTCCAACCCATTCGGAACCGAACCAACTCAGTCGGAACCAACCCAGACGGAACCGATCTGACCCACTCCAACCCAGACTGAACCAAACCAACTCAGTCGGAACCGATCCAGTTCAACCCAGGCTGAACTGAACCAACTCGGTTGGAACCGACCCAATCCAACCCGGGCTGATCCAACCCAAGGCAGAACCAACCCATCCCGAACCGCTCTGACCCACTCCAACCCATTCAGAACCGAACCAACTCAGTCAGAACCGATCCACTCCAACCCATTTGGAACTGAACCAACTCAGTCGGAACCGACCCAGTCCAACCTGGGCTGATCCAACCCAAGGCAGAACCAACCCAGCCTGAACCGCTCCAACCCACTCCAACCCATTCAGAACCAAACCAACTCAGTCGGAACCAACCCACTCCAACCCATTCGGCACCGAACCGACTCAGTCGGAACCGATTCACTCCAACCCATTTGGAACTGAACCAACTCAGTTGGAACCGATCCACTCCAACCCATTCGGAACTGAACCGACTCAGTCAGAACCAACCCAGTCCAACCCGGGCTGATCCAACCCAAGGCAGAACCAACCCATCCCGAACCGCCCCGACCCACTCCGGCCCATTCGGAACCGACGCGAGGCTCCCAGCTCCGGCCATGTCGGCCCCGCACGGCGCCGGGTTCCAGTTCGCCATTGACCGGGGCGGGACGTTCACCGACGTCTTCGCGCGCTGCCCCGACGGCCGGGTCAGGGTCCTCAAACTGCTCTCCGAAGACCCCAAATACGACGACGCGCCCACCGAGGGCATCCGGAGGGTGCTGCGTGAGGTGGGGGCCTGAAACCCACCCCCCGAAACAGCCCCAGTTCTGTGGGACCCCGATGGGGCCCCCTATGGGACCTCCACCATGGGACCCCCCCATTGGACCCCTAACACCCCATGGAGCCCCTATAGGAACACAAGGAGCGTCCTCTATGGGACTCTCCTATGGGACCCCCAATGGGACCCCCAGCACCCCATGGAGTCCTCCATAGGAAAACCAAGAGTGTTCTCTATGGGACCCCCAATGGGACCCCCCCCAACGGGACTCTCCCTATGTGACCCCCATCACCCCATGGAGCCCCTATAGAAACACCAGGAGTGTCATCTATGAGATCCTCCTATGGGACCCCCAATGGGACTCCCCCCAAAGGACCCCCTATGGGACCCCTTATGGGAGCCCTGTGCACCCACCGAGGGCATCCGGAGGGTGCTGCGTGAGGTGGGGACTCGAAACCCACCCCCCAAAACAGCTCCAGTTCTGTGGGACCCCCCCCCCAATGGGACTCCCCCTATGGGACCCC